GGGAGCAGTTTGCTTGGCTGGGCTAAGCATCCTGCTGGCCCTCATCCCTCGCATTTATCAGCACAGCCCCTGCTGCAGGATGGCCCTAGGGCTGCGGAGGCCCTTCTGCCCTGAGCAAAGGAGCCAAAAACCTTCCCAGTGCCTTAAAAACAGGCCTATACAATAAAGGATGAGTAGCACTGATAAGCCAGGCCTAGCCACCACTTTCTTTGGGGTTACCATCCCCTCGCTCCAAACCTGCTTGAACCTCAGGCTTCTCAAAGTCTTAGGCTTCCTCAAAATCTTGTGCTTCTTGTGGTAAAACTCATAGCAAAGTTGTGACTTGTATGAAGTATATAAAAATAAGGCAGTTTGTTTCCTTGTCTCCCCAGCGACTGATGCTCTGGAGGATCTGCTCCCTTCCTTGTTTCACCACTGGAGATTTGTGTGAATTATTACTGGGGATTTCACCACTGGCTTCCACTCCTGCAGGAAACATCCAGAAGATTTCCCCCTTGAGACAGGAATAAAATCACTTACCTGCCAGCTAACATAGCATTTATAAAGTCAAAACTAGTCTGAATATTTCATGAGTCTTTAGGCTCTGTCACACCCTGCTGTGGAAATACTTGCCAACGGGCAAGTTTTCTTTGCAGCTTGGGTCAGTGGGTGGCTGGATTGCACACCAGGGCAGGCTTCACTGTCCGGGTACATTTCCATCCTATTTCCTTCTGCTAGCTCCTGCAGCTTTGCCCACGGAACTTGGATTCAACACATGGATGGTGAATTTGGCCAGGAGGTTAGGTGAGTTCTGTAGCAGTTGCTTTCTTGCCAGGGAGCACCATTCTGCAAGCAGAGCCCAGTGCTGCACATTACTGCTGCATTGCTGTTGCTGCAGGCTGGCTCCTGCTGGTGTGTGGAGGTTTCTGCAGTGCCCCTGCCCCTTTTCTGCTGGTTATTTCACAAGCAGGCTACATCCATCTTGGAAGGTAAACCACTGGACTGTGAGGCTGCTTGTTAGGGAGTAAGGCAACTCTTGGAGGGCAGCAAAGGATGCATGTTCTAAAAATAAAGACCCTAATTAGTTAGATGTCTGCATTTGTGTCATAGTCAATGGGTGCATTGGGTATTTGCAAGCTTTGAATGTCAGATATTTACTGAGTTACGTCAAAGTGCCGTGGTGATGCTTTTATTCACTACGTAGTCTGTGCCTGTCTTCTGCAGATGGTAGATCTTCTGTCCAGCAGGCAAGGTCTGAAATTTCACTTTCTGTCATGTATTCTTATTTTGGATAAGTATTTTTTAACTTTAAGCAAAGGAGCAGAATAACTGCAGGGTCCTCTGCAGGCCTGCTTACCTGAGCAGACTTCAGGATGTTCCTGCAAACCTAACAAAACAACAGGCCCAAACATTTTTTTTTTAAATTTTTTTTTGCAAGAGTGAGATATCTGGATGTATTTTTTCAGATCTTGTCTAGCTAGTCAGGTTGATTAATGGAAAGGAGACTTCCAGAGTGAGCATAAGCCTTGGTTTGTCTGAGTTTGCAGAATATTCCAGTAAAGCATCCCTTGTCTGGGGTGCTGGGCAGAGGTGGTGCTCTGACTAAACCTTTGATTATTGTCCTGATTTCGTGTTACTCTTCTTTTGTGGTCCTGTTGAAAGTCACAGATGGATCTGACAAAACTACATTTAAAGTCAGCCTGACAAATCAGAGAACAACCTTTTATGTAATTAGAGGGCAGACTGGATAAAGCAATCACCTCTGGGAGGTGTGTGTGAGAACCATTTCTGGGTGATTATCTCTGTGCTTGGTTCCCTCTATAGCTTCTGTTTTGGGAATTGGTGTTAGTGCAAAGGTGCCTGGAAGGCGGGGAAGCCTGTGGATGCTGGCTGGTGGGGTGGTGGTAGCAGCGGTGGTCAGGTCTGATCCTGCCTCATGGGGCAATTTCTTTTGGAATTTTGTGTGAGGTAAGATCCATGGTCTGGTGTGACAAGTTATGTTGCAGGGGAAGCTGCTTTTCCATAGCATACAGTAGATTTGTGATTATTTATAAGCAGCCTTGTCTTCGTAAATATCAATAGTAACTGGTGTTCTGGGTAGATTCCAGTTGGGGTAGCTCTGCCTGTACCCCAGCTAGAGGAGGGGCTGGGTGGCATTCTGACATCAGGTACGACAAGTAATTAGAAGGTAAAGGATTAATCAACTTTGTGTACAGGGGCTGGGCGAGATCTATTATCCTGCATGAGTCAGATCTTCACATCGCTCTTTGCTCTTGATGTGCCCGTTTGACAATATTAAATTGCTACAGCCAGTTTAATGGTCTGTGTAAGCAAGCTTGTGAGCTCTGGTTATAATTGTAATTTTGTTATTGACCTATAGAAGATCACGTCCATACTCACATCCTCACTCAGATATCAGGTATGAATATTTGTGCTGATGGATTAAAAATACCTCTTTCTCTAAGTGTTACTGGAAAATTTATTGTTTCGTTGACATACCTACTTGCAGCAAAGCTTGTTTGTTTGAATAATCATAAAGACAAAACAGGAGGAGGAATGAATGGAAATCAAATCAGTATTGCCTAGTTATTGCAGAATTCTTTTTTTTTCTTCTTATCAGAGTGGCTCATCTATGAGATCTTGATTTCTGATAGGCAAAGCTGCTGTAAGTTTCCACCAGGGATGCTCATACCTCCAAGACACAAGCCATTCCTCTTCCCACATCTGTGGGATGACTTGGTCCAGTGGGTAGGCAGCAACATGTGGCTGTGACAGCGAATGTGTGGTTTGCTCCTGTACCTGCTTCCTAAGTGTTTTAGAGAAAAATGAAGTTGCTTTCGGAGTTTAAATTTTCCCTCTAGAGAAGATGGCTGTGTTTTGTGGTGGTCTGGAAGGAATCACCCATTGTACGGCGGTACCAGCCAGTTTTTGCAGCTGCTCAGGGCTGCACCCAGCTGCTGGAGAAGGCTTTCACCTTCATTTTAAAAACACCCGGTTCCATCCACTATCTGTTTCATCTCCTCATGCTCTTTCACAATGCTGCGTGAGTACAGCCAGCCTTGTAATTAATCCTGCTCATTCTGGTACCAGTTTGCCATGGGAAATTTTCTTAAAATGAGCAGTTCTTACCAACAGGTGGGTGTGGTTTTTTTTTTTGTTTGTTTTCCCCTATATACTTGGATCGTAGAGGTTCAGCCTTTATTACTGCTCTCAATGGAATCAAGTTTGAAAAGCATCAGTCTCACAGATACCTGATTTTTCATGTTTTATCTATTAATTATATATACTTAGTGTTCAAAAATTCCATTTTGCTCTAGAGGCTATTGGTAAGTTATAATTATAATTTAGTACTATTATATATTATACATATAATATACATTATACACATGAGATACACTCGCTTATGGAAGTGCCGTAGCAGAGCCATGGTAGAGCCAGAAGATGCTCTTCCAGTTCCACGATGGCGACAGTGGTCACCGTACAGGAGACTGTAGGGAGTTCCGCTTGTTGGGAGATGCAGACTCGATGTGCATCTCACTGCCTCTGCAGCTCAGCATGCTGAGTGAGGTGTGAAATGAGCCCCAAGCCACGTTTTCTTCTCATGCTGCCTCTCACCTGTTGGTAATTGGGGAGCTGTGTTTCTAGGATGGTTAATTTTCACCTTGCATGGGCATTAGGTGTCTGTTCCAAAGAAATCAGTGGGAGTCTTTTCTCTGACTTTAGTGTTGATCCAAAGTCCCTTGCATCTAGTTTGCATGTCAGAAAAAACAATTATCTCCTTCCCTGCTGCTTTTTAATTGTGTAAATACTATGAACTCCTCACAAGTTTTGAGTTCAGCACACATGCAGACAATTTTGTTCCCAGATTTTTTTGCTTCCTGTTGTGATTTTAAGGTTGCAGCATGTGACTCCTTAAAACACTGTGACTGTAAGTGCTGTAACCTTGCTTTATTACAAAACATATATTTGCCAGAGCAAAGAAGAATTTGGGTTAAAGGGAAGTAGATAATTCCATTTCCTTATTTCCGAGGGGTGTTGCAACACCTCCCGATGTAAAACTACCTGCAAAGGAGTCAGCATCACTGTGTGTCAGCATTGTGCCACAGAGGAGCAGGACAAGATTCCCAGCTGAATAAAATTTGCTTTTGTGGAGATCTGTAAGCCCTTTGTCTCGTAAGATGGTTATTAACTTGGGTAGTTTTAGGCTGACTGGATTTCTCAGTATTAAAATAGATGATAGTTGCAGTGTTTATTATGGAACAATAAGTTCAGGACAAAAGCTTTTGCTAATGCAAAGCACTTTGCCTTGGACAAGCTCTGTCCGACAGTGAGACATTGCCATCTCTTGGGCAGGTGCAGCTAGAACTTAGACTATGTTTAAAACCTACAATAATTAAAAGCCCAGTAGCATAGCTGAGGACTTGGACAGGGCTGAGTCTGTCACTGAGTCCAGTATCCTGGTATTTTGGTTGCTGCTATTCGTGTGTATACATCTTAATACTGGCAAGGGCACAATCTGACTCAGAAATCAGAAAAACACTTGTTATTTCTTTGTGTAAAAATGGTTGTAGTTACCAGGTTGATGTCCCTTAAATATTACAAGCTGTGAGTAATTTCTTCTCAATTTATGAGACTGGAAAAGTTTAAGTATAATTACATTTGGGATTATTGTCGTTTACTTCCTAGAGTCTGAGCCTTTTAAACACAAGGCTCAGAACTGACTTTTTAAAATAAAAGATGCAATTTTCTGCAATCACAGGGCTTTAAGAGATTAAGCTTTGAGAGTACGAAATATCCTAAGTCTCTTGGCAAAACTACGAGGGTTGGCAGTATTGATGCCTGACTTGCTTCTTGATAATACATCTCCTTTTTAAAAAAGAAGGTGCGTAGGCATAAGCTCCTAATTTTAATTAAATTCTGTCTTTCAGAAGGGAAAGTGGCAGGTGTGTAGAGCTAGAGAGACCCTCTGTGAAGTAATTAGATGAAAACTGATAATATTTGGCTTAATCCACAGTGCTGGCAGAAAGGTTCTCAGAAAACAACACCTGCCCTTTGCTGATTAATAGGCGTCCTCCGTGTTAGTGATCCTACGATATGCCTTTGGTAAATGTTGCCTGTTCTAATAATAAAAAAACATCCTAAAACATGTCAGCAGGCTGAGTAAGTTCTATTTTTCTGGGGAAAGTAATGGGAACTTTGGACATGTGAGAATAATTGCACCTGATCCAAGTACAATAGCAGCAGTATGGCCAAATTTTTCTTGATTTGTAAAAAAAAGTAATTTTTTTTTTTAATATTAGAGTATGAATTTTTAAACAATGGTGTCTCAAAATTTTTGACCAAGTTTTGAACTTTAGGTATTTGGCCTCTATGGGATTGTAGGGTCTGTGCAAAGAAAAAGTGAGAAATGGCCTGTTTCCTGAAAGAGCCCCAAATATGAACGCCTGTGCCTCATCGGTACAGCTGCCGAGTCTGGCATCAGAGTGAGGGTGACAAAGGGGTGTGTGCTGGAAGGAGAAGGCTTTGGCACAATGGGACGTACCCCTAAAAACTTTGGGGAATGCAGATATGTGGGATGAGCGAGACAGCAGGCAAATGAGGTGGTACAACCAAGGGTGCAAAAAATTAGAGGCAATATAATACTTTATGATACACTTTTATTCTTTGAGTTCAACAATATGCAATAGGAAAATTTCCTAGAAATCCTCCCATTTATAGGTATGTGCATATATATATATATATGTGTCTGTGTATAGATATCTGTAAACCCACCCGCGCTGCAGTGCTTGGATGTAGAAACTCCTGTGCTTAGGGTGGACCAAGCAGCCTGAGGACTCCTCCAGTGCATCTTTCTCCATGTGTGCTGTTTCCAACATACTGATCCTCTTTCCTTCTCACTTGGATTCCATAAATGCACTTTGGTTTCTGAATTGCACTCACCAGAAGCCAGAAAGGGCCCTTGCCTCTTTAAGTTGCTCATAAAATCCAGTTAAAGTTGGATGTTCATAGAAAATCACTCTGACAGTTCATCTCCTTGCCATGGTATTATCCAAAATACAATTTTATACTCCACAGTGTGAGTAGCTTAAAAAGGTAAATTACAGCTCATGATTGTTGATAGAGGTCACTGAGATTTCTACCAGATTATTCACAGGCAAATATTTAGCCTGAGAGAAATAAATGCTTTGAATCAGTTAGGTATCTATTTAAACTTAAGCAATTATAAATATGGATACATAAAACTGCTGGTTTGTAATATGCTGTAGGCATGAGGTACTTCCTTTGGGGTTATTTTGATCTCAGAAAAATTAAATACTGGGATATACATCATGAAGTGTCGAGTGCCGGCTTTAAGCTGCAGAATTTTCTCATGAAGGAACAAAAAGGCAACACATTACCTCATAGGTAGTAGGTACTGGGTCTATCTCATGGGTTTCATATATCAAACCATGAAAAAGGAGACTACAACCAAGAAATATAATTTCCAGGAAGCTGCACTAAAGCAGCTGTTGCTCTATGTGTCCTGCAAATAGCCGCAGTGGAGATCTCTCTGTTCTTTTTTAAGGACTGTATAATATATGTTTTTTTTTCTTTGTTTTAGCATCTGCTTCTGTGACTACAACAATGTCCGTATTTGTGGATGGGAAAGAAGTTTCTCCATTGGTAGAGATTCTTCAGGTGAGGTACTTGCACTGCATTATAGAATCATAGAATCAGGGAATGGTTTGGGTTGGAAAGGACCTTCAAGATCATCGACTTCCAACCCCGTTGCCATGGGCAGGGTCCCCTCCCACTAGCCCAGGTTGCTCAAAGCCTCATCCAGCCTGGCCTTGAACACCTCCAGGGATGGGGCATCCACAGCTTCTCTGGGCAGCCTGGGCTAGTGCCTCACCAGCCTCACAGGAAAGCATTTCTTCCTAATATCCCCTCTTTCAGGGGTAGGTTATGACTGCATATCTCTACTTCTCTGTGTCTTTTAGAAGTAATAATTTTGCAAGGAAAGCTCTTGCCAATGGTGCATTCAGCCATCTCCCCTTGATACCAGCAGCAGTGGGGGACGGGGACCAGGAGCAGGGGACCTGCTGTGGGCACCCGCTGTCCCTGCTGACCCAGGCTGGGAACACATTCCACCAAAGTGGTCCCCGGGGGGTCCTGGGCTGCTTTGACATCCTCGGCCGCAGCATGCAGCCGGCGGAGGGGTGACGACCCTCACTCTAAAGGGACAAGCCTCTATCACTAACCAGCCTGGCATTTCAGACCCTCCTCAGCAAATATCATCCTCCCTGAAAGATGGTACTGAAGACAAGGAGAACAATCCCACCGCTTGCTGTTAGCAAACGCGAGGCTATTGAGGACTATTTTGTTTCTTAAACACACTGGAGGAAAACAGCAGTACAGCAGAGAAGCTGGGTTTGCGTGACATCCCTGAGTCCAACACACAAAAGGAGACTGGGGTGAAAAAGGGGAGCCAGGTAATTTTATCACTTTTTACCTTTGGCCGTCTAGAGTTTCTAGCCGAGCACAATGGATGTGTTTCTTAGTCAAGACCAGAGGCATCTGTAGGTCCTGACAAAGGAGATCCGTGCCTCGGAGCAGGACTTGGAGCAGGGCCGCATTCTGCTCCCCGCCTCAGCAGTATGATCCATGGGGGAGTGCATTTATTTGCAGAGCCATTTTATATCCCAAAAGGGCTTCAAAAATCAGCACCGGGGTAGGAGTTCAGCCTGACGAACTACAGCAACTCGTGTGCTGTAATTCTGGTCTCTCCCATAAAGAACTACGTTACTGTTTTTTAAAATATGCATTTAGGGAGTTTTAGAGTGATTGACTCAATAGAATGTAATAGGTATTATGAAGTTCTTATAGTTTTTAAATAACTCCCTAAATGCTTATTTATGTGAAACAGTAGCTTTTGGATTCTTCTAGCCATTATACTTTAAAGCGCAATAAATCTCGGTTTAGGTCTCGCTGCCATCCCTCAGACTTAGGAAATTTAAACCAACATATGGCATAGGGTTTGTGGGATATACTGGCATAGACTGGTGCAGGTTTTTTTCTCATCTTATTTTCCCCTTGATATCTGAATCTTAATAACACTAAGTGCAATGATACTGATTTTACAGGGAGGTTATTTTATTCCTTTGCATCCAGTGAAAATCCCCACGGCAGTATTTTTTTTTAAATCCTACCTGAGCAGTAGCTCCTTTTTTTCTGTGTAAATGACTTGTTTAATCTTTACACCACACTGTATTCAAAGTTCTCATCATGAATGAAAGCCCTGCAAAATTTTAATCTGAAAACAGCACAACTGTAGAAGCAAAATCCAAATTTTTTTTTTTTTCACTTTCAGGTTTTAATTCTCTCAAGCATTTAGTTTATAATTCTTTCTTTTGCAGTAAGATGCAAGCTAGCATCCCAAGTGCTGCGCACGTGGACACACCACACATGACCCCCCACCTTCCAGGATGGCTGCAGTGTCCCCAGAGTGGGCTGTTCTCCATGGTGTCTGAAGAGAAGCATCCCCAGACAGAAAATCTTTTAGTATACTGGTTGCTTTGTTGCGGTATTTTTACACCACTTACAGCTTACTTCTCAGTAGTCACGTGTTGCATAGAAAAAAATGACTTTATTTAGGTGAAAATTTAATTTGATGACCAGTGAAGGTTCTCCTGCAGAACTGTATTCTGTTTATTTTGACGTGTTGCTCTTAGGAAAGGGAATTTAACCATTTTTTTCCCTTTTGTGGATAAACAAGGATACATTGGGAAGAGAGGAATAGAAGGATTCCCAGAAGGACCTGGACAGTGAGGACCGAAAGGAGAAAAGAGTGATCAGGGTCTCTGGTGAAACAGGACTTCCTTCCAGGAGGGGACAGCGTGGTCCTAGAAGACCTCTAGGAACTGCAGGCTACAAGGGACAATGGGGTCCAACAGGTGACACAGGACTGAGAGGTGACCAGAAGAGAAGTGTGTGGGAAGGGCTGGAAGGGACACATGGAGTCACCTGGTGCCTGAGGATTGATGGGGCCCAAAGGAGACCCTGAAGTCCTTAGAAAAAGGGGTCAGCCTGGAAAACATGGACTGGCTGGATTTCCAGGTGGAAAAAGAGAAAGGACAGAAGGAAAATGGTGAAGAAAATGAAATTGTAGCTCTTCCAGTGGGTCTTGGAAAAAAAAGAAAAAAAAAGAAAAGCAGCCTTCGGTGTGGTGGTTTTTTTTTTGTTTTTTGTTTTTTTTTTTCTTCACCCAGCAAGGGAGAATGCTTGCTGTCCATTTAGTGCTGCCTCTAAGCGACATTCAGGAGGCTATGGCATACTGAGTAAGTAAGAGAGGAGAAAAAAGCTTGTATCTTGACTTGATTGATTTATCTATTGTACTGTCTTATATGGAAATATTCTCTGACCTAATTAGCAGCATAGAAGAAAATTTTCTTTTCAGTCTATTTTCTGTTTAGCTCAATTGTTTCATGATAATGAATAAAGGAAAACAGAATACATTTAGTTTTTACAGAAAATAAAATTATTGTGGAGAAGAGGAGGACCTCTTCCAGGAGGTCTGCTGGATTGTTGTGGGAAATCTTGTGAGAAGTGTTAATTGTTTTTTCACACAGAAATGTTAATTCCCTTTCAACACTTTTTACCCAGCTTGAGTGTAATTTAGTTCCATTTTTACCCACTTCCTATTCTATATGAATGTTATTTTTTCCAGTTTGCCTTCTGGATACTTGAGCATTAAGATTTTAAATTACCTATTATTACAAACCTGGCTTATTTTCTATGCTACTTCGGTTTTCACTGTTTCCTCCTTTATTATGTTTCCAAGCCAGATTTTTTTAGTTTATCAGTCTACCTTGTATCTGCAGGTCTAAATTTTCGTTTGCAAACAATTGGAAGTGGAACCCTCTGGGAGGTGCTTTTTTAATCTCCTTTGCTGATCTCATTTAAGAAATACTCCATTAATTTAATACAAAATACATTTACACAGTTTGCCGTGTCCCTCTGTGTTTTGGAATGGCAGGCAGGGGGAAGATCCTGCAAGGACAAGGTTGTTGTGGCCACATCGATGTTCAGGACCCCGCTGTGTCCCAGGAGGAACTTCAGGCTGCAGAGGAGGGGAGCGGTGAGGGTCTCTGGTTAAGTCGTTCCTTTCCTCCCCATCTCTGATAATGATGGGGAGCAAGGATTAGTGTTGCACGGATGCTGCTTCCTTGGGGAATTGCTTTATGTTGGTTAAAGCTTCCTTCATGATGCACTGGCTTTCATGTGTTTGCTTTTGCCAAACCCCAGAAGGGTTTTTAGTGACCCAGCACTTGTGAGAAGATCACAGCCTTTCCTATCCAGGCCTGGTGGATGTGCCAGTACAAATTGGTAGCATGGACACAGCTTTGTTTTTACTTAGCTTTGCAAATCTCAGTCAAAAACAGTTATCTGCAAATGTGCAAGGCTAGGAGTGTGTATGAAATGTACTTTGAAGAAACTTTAATGGCCCACATGCATCACTTATAGCAGTAAAATGTAGATCCAGATCCCCTGAATAAACAAAGTGATTAATCTAGTGCTAAATCTTAATTTACACTTTCAACCCATTAGTTTTCCAAACTGCTTCAGTAACTCAATAAGCACGGTATAATTTAAAAACCTGCGGTTGTTGCATAATCTAATAATACTATTCCAGACTGCTACTGTTCAAGCTATTCAGGAAAATACACTAACCCAGGACTAAAGCTGTGTTTCTTGCTTTAACTTTAGTGTGCAGCAAATATGGCATTAAATTGAAGTCTGTGAAAGAGTAACTTTGGTGAATATGTAGGCAACACTGTAAAATGCAGTAATCATCTTGGTTAAAAATGGTTAATATTCCCCTGTTGAATAACTTCTGTTGCTAATGAAAAGTCCTGAGTTAAGACCAAAATAAGGATTTTATTATAACTGATTTGATTGCCTTTTATCTTCCTTTGATGTGTCCATGATCTTGTCAGAAATATAACTGCTGAAGACACAGGTATTTTTAACTTCAGTTTAAAACATTGAGTCCAATTACAGTATTGAAAAGAGTTGTAAATTTTTAAAAAAGGACTGTTTGAATTCAGGACTCAGCTCTGTTTTCAGCAATATGAATGCACATCAGTGAGTGCTGCAGCAGGTTCCATTCCAGGAGCTGCAACAAGCCCATGTTCTACACGGGGTTAGAGTATCTTACTGCAAAACTCTGAATGGATTCCTTTGGAATACCCTGAAAAGCTGGTGAATCAATCTAGCCTGAAATGCTTAGTAACAGACTTTCCGTAATCAACTTGTTATTGCTGAAAGCTGTAGACTATTGTGCTGGAAAGGGTGGTCGCAAATAAATCATGGAGGATTATAATTCTCTCCACTTACATTAAAGGAGAATTGATTGTATTCTCCAGCTCACCTGAAACAAGCAGCCTTTCTTGTCCAGCAGCTGAGCTTTGAGCATACTGGTATGTTGTAAATTCAGACTGATTGAATGAGATGGTTTCCTTGCTCATATTTCACCAAGACAAGGCAATGAAAGGTAGCCTCGCATTCCTGAGTTTCGTACTGCACTCTGAATTGGGCTGGGAAATCTAAGAATAAACGCTGGCCCATTTTAAGGTCACTGGGGAAGGAAACGAGTACTGTGATTGCTGGGAAAGAGCGAAGAAAATCAATTAGCCTATGAAATCTGGAGGGGTTATCGGTTCCAATAAGAACAATGTTGTAGCAACCCTCCCAGGGTGGATTTGTCCCTTTTCCCAGCGGGGTTGTGTTCTGCCGCTCTGCTGTGCAGCACAGCCTCCTGCAGGTACTTTGCTCTGCACTGGAGGCAGAGTGAGAAGAAAATATTTGCTTGCTCCATCTCTGCATTTACCTGAGACAGCCCGGATTTGAGGCTGAATTGCCCTTTTGGTGCATTTCCATGCAGACACGTGCGCTCATACAGCTATTTCTGTGATTTCTCTTTTACCCCTTCTAAACTCCCACTGCAAGGAGGGGAGTGTGGTGCCAAACTCTGCACGCTGAATACTGAGAGAGAAACCTGGACCCTGCTGAAGCAAACGGACCAATTCACGCTGAGTCTGGTAGTACCAAAACACGATGCTGCTCTTTGCAAGAGGAGCATCCCTAAAGCCTGGAAAACTAGTGTTGGGGGAAGAGCCAAAAAAAGTCCCACGTGAAGAGTAGCATCCCAGCTGGGGGAAAGCATTTGAATTTCCTCAAATTTCAATGTCACCTTGCTCCTTTCAGGGGACTTTGCCAATCCCCCCTTCTCCCTGCACCGTGCAGGCTCTCATTGGCCACGGGAGCAGCTGTTACAGAAATAAAACAGATTCTCTCTGAAAATAAGATTGTCTTTTTCAAAGTGCCATTGAGTGGGGGTTGTCCTGGGAGCAGGACCATTTGTAAGGTAGGAGATAGCACGCACTGGTTGTTTAGTGTTTGGGCAGGGTATTTACAATGAATCAAAGAATTTAAGACATAGTGGCAATATAATTTGTCTCAGGAAAAATTACTGTCTGTAATGAATGTATAGCTGCATGGGGACTAGTGTTTTTCCTTGCCTACAGAAGAATTTAAAATAATTAAATAACAGAAAGTGCAACCATCTCCTTGATATTTAAAGCTGGGACATTGGGGTTAAATACCTGTTGTGAACTGGAATATCTAAATACTGTAATTTTAGGGACCAAACCGAAGAACAACTGTGTTATTATGATGTTATTGTGGGACACATGCTAACAATTAATGGATATTTAGATCCAATTAAATATGGATGCACTGAATGCGATATCACTGTGGCAAAGTTTAATTCTTCGTATTTTGTGTCCACTGTGAATAATAATCTTTCCTAACTGGGGGATTCAAATGAATGATTTTAGAATCAGTGGTGGTGAGCTAGTGTAATGAAAAAGTCCAAAATTTCATTTTTGTTAAAATGTGTTTATGTATTAAGAATAATTATTTTAGGAACTGTCTTGCCCATTATAATGAAAATCTATTTAACAGTTCCTTGCTCTGAGCAATTTATTTTCTAAACAGACTGTTAAGGTATAATTTTTTTATTAATTATGTTTTTCCCATATTTGATGGCAATCCATCAGTCTGGCTGTGTAACTGGAGAGTGCCTGGTTTTAGAACTTATTGCAGAAGTTGCTTGTGACAGTAAAACATAGAAGTGGTTTTGATTTGAAAACCGAGTTATCATTTCCCTGTAAAGTTATTAGGTGTCTAAAGCTGCAATTTCCTTCTGCTACTGGCTTTCATTGTGTGGAAGTTATGGATTTATTTAGTTATCTCCAGTAGTGGCAAAACACTCCTGTGTGAGTACATTCTTCAAAAGGAGAATTTATCCCTTTTTTTTCTCTTCCTAGACAGCAGATGACCCTCCTTCTCTGTGACTGTGACTGCTTCCCTGGTGCTGGCTGGAAGGTCTGGCTCCTCTCTGCCTGCCTGTGCTGAGTGCTGCCCTCCTGTGCCAGCTGTCCCAGGGTTAAACTCTTCATGGTAAGGTTGGCAGGCACTGGTTGAGAGCAAATACGAGACTGTGACAAAAATCAGTGCCCAATGTGCTGTCGTAATGTGACAGATGCACGGAGAAGGGATAATTTATCCCTTGCTGGAGCTGATGGTAAAGAATGGGTTGAATGGCAGCAGTGGGCAACAGTGGTCATTGGGGATTTTGTGGGGATAATAAATTTTCCATTAAATGACTTGTTCTTATGTGAAAATGGAAAAAATCATGACCCTTTCCTCTAAAACTGAGTTCTTGAAGATGGAAAGGTTATAGTCCAGCCCCCAGATACCTGACTTTGGGTCAGACTTCTTTTTGTCCTCTGGATGGCAAGGTTAGTCAACATTTCTCCCAGTGACTTTTTCATGTAATGAAGTTCCTTAGATGCTAAGGAAGGTAAGGTTACAGGTTCAGCAAGAAAGGGAGTCTGTTCCATTTGTATTTACAGGTCAGTACACTGGTTTAAAAAAGAAACAAAGATGCTTTATATGACAGGTCATCTGAGAGGCATCATCTGTCCTATAGGAAAAAATGTGTGCTTCTTACTCTGTCCTTTCTTCCTGGTTCAGCTAAACCAAGACTTTAAAAATAAAGAAGAATGGACCTGAAAGTTTACACAGAAACAATATACAAGTCCAGAAAATCCGTCAGTAACAAAGAAAAAACTGACATAAAAATTTTAGAATACTTGACGTTTCATTTTGTTTCCCTTTATTCTTTTAGAGCAAAGTTTTTTCTAATGTGCAGTTGTGTTGGACTCTGAAATGATTTAATTATTCCTAATCTTGTATCTCTCAGTCAGCCCCTTGAACTTCCATTGATACCCATGGGACCACTTCCAACCCCAGGGAATAGGAGCAGACAGACCGCAAGTGCTCTGTAGGGTGATGGTCAATGGGGGTGAGCAGGCAAGAGGTTTTGCTAACTTTGCTTTACTTTCCCCAGAAAAAAATGAGGCTTTGTAACATAGTCCTTCAGGTTAAGGACACTGCTCATGTAAGTCTTCTGGCTTTGTGGGGAACGTGCAAATGGAAAGGATGTTGTGCAGTGATTTATTATTGCGTTCATCTTTCACTACAGCTGCCAACATGTGGAGCTCACTGAGGCTCGTCTCAGCGTTTGTGATGCTGGTTTTTGCCACCGTGCACGCGGGAGTGAAGGTGACCCCAGCTGTGAAGTACACGAAGACAAAGCCCTTGCAGCTGGTGGGCAGCGGTGCCTCCCACTCCCCCCTCACCCCACTCCCAGCAGCACCGGGCAGAGCCGAGTTACCCAGCCCGACCCCCGCAGCCCGAGGGACCACAACACTCTTCCCCTACGACAACTACACACTCGACACGGCTGATTTCTTCTTCAACTGCTGTGACTGCTGCCCACCTGCTGCGGGGTCCCGGGGGCAGCCGGGGGAGCAGGGACCCCCAGGTATGGTGATGCCTGTCTCGCCGCTCTCAGCTAAAGTGCATAAACTGTATCATGGAGTCTCCTGCTTTTCCTTCAAGAAATGAGTTGGCAGAACTTGTGCAGCAAATGCCAAGTGTGATTACGCCTGGTGTAAAGCCGGGGCAAAAAAAGTGCATGCTAACCACATCCCAGAAGTTATAAAACACCAATATGAGTGGGAAAGCCCCAAAAGGAACTTTCTCCCCACGGCACTCACTTTGAGGACCACGCTGATGTGGGAGCACATGCAGAGCTGGTCCCATACCATGCTGCTGCTGGCGGGTGCTCCACATGGCCATGCTCTTCGATTCTCTGTCCCTGTGTCTGATCCCCTGGGAGACAGAGATTTACTTTCACATTCACTTCAGCTGTGGTTTTATGACCCTCAAAACTACCTGCAAGCAGTTCTGTATCTTTGCTGAAGTTTTGTGAAAAAAGCCTCTTTTCCTGTTTTTTTTTTTTTCCTTCCCTTGGAAAACAGGAAGTTAAATACAAAAATAATTTTAAGTTCAAATTTTAAAAGAATGATTTGCTCTCACAAAAGGCAGTTCCGTGTAGCATACCTAAATATTTTATAAGACATACTTTGTCTCTTTTTTTCTACGGCTGAAATACATATCTATAGAGCCCCTAATTCTAATACTGCTATGAATAGTGCATGTCTGCAAATGTTCACTTTAATAGCACTAATATTGGAGATGGAAACTATTCATCTAAGGAAAGGTGGTAAAATCATGAAACAATTTTCTTTTAATACAATGTACTCAAGGGATTTTCACTTCCCATAGCTTGGAAAGGACTGGTTAATGGAAATTATAGTGGCTGCAGAGGGAGTTTCTACTCCTTCATCTCTTTAAGTGTTGATGGAAAAGTTCTCGTGTCAAATGGGTTGTGTTGTGATGATTGAAGCTGCCATCGTCTGCTCCCAGGTGTGCACCAGGAGTCTCTAGATTCCTAAGTGGATGAAAAAGTAAAAAAGGGATTGAAGACAGCTTGCATGCCTTTCAGCCCATCGCTTATGCGCCACAGAGCTGTATGCCAGGTTCCACTTTTATATTTGCAAACTTAATTATTTTTAAGGAGAGGGGCAGTTATGAATCTATGGGAGCTCCTTAGATGCACTCAAATATTAAAGACAGATTACTTCTGATGTTTTATGGATGTCTGAGCTCCTGTGGCTCTGAGCCAGCTGAAAGTTGGTTTTAAAAAGTTCTTCTTAACTACAGCCAAGAGTGAAATGATAAACTGTAAGATTTGGGTATTGCAGTAGCTGAAAGGCAAAGTCTGGGGAAGTGCGTGCCTGACCAGGGAACCTGTGAGCATGCACTCCGCTAATCCCAGCAGCAGCAGTGTGGTATTGCTCCTACCACCCCTCGCCTTTCGCCCCGCTGTAGGGTTTCAGCTGCAGTGTCTGCAACATGTAGGGCAGCAGGGTACTCAGGCCAAACCCATCTGTCTCACATCTATTTTTTTCATTGGTTGTATGATGCCAAATAGAATAGCCAGCTTTTCCCAGGGTGATGGGAACAGGGTTTCCCTTCCCTGGTATCCCTCGATGCTGTGCTGCTTAGCTATTATTGCAAAATTTTTTGTAATGTTAAACCTTTGAGTTACTAAGGTAATTTTGTTGGTGTTATTATGTTACAGGTCCCAAGGGGGAGAAGGGAGATGCTGGTCTGCAAGGTCTGCCGGGAACCCCAGGCCCTCAAGGTCCAAAAGGTTCTAAAGGAGAAAGAGGTAAAGCAGACTAACTGCTCCTTTTGAAAACAGATGCTGTTATTCTCACCTAATACTACAAAACTGTAGGAAAAAATATTGTCAAAGGAAATGGAGTACACTGCTGTGGGTTGACACCTATGAGATTTAGCTGGCATTAGAGCAGGGACAATAACTCAGGTGGTGGTAGCATATGTGCAGACAGTATAGGAACTGCCGCTGCTTATAAAGATCTCACTAGAAACTCCTTGTTCTGAAAGGGAGTTTAAAAACTGAGTTCAGTTTGCTTTGGATTAGGGATGTAAGTAGGAAAAAAACACCATGGAAGCTGCATTCAGGTGTAGAAGCTGGATTTCAATTTAAGTATCTCAGGCGAAATGATTTCAGCTAAGATGGAGAGCAATCAGTAGTAACTGAAAGGAAAGCCTGCCCTTCATTTCAGGCTCAGAGCAGCTCTGTCCTGCTGCCTCACACCAGCGTAGGACCCTGTCGTGGAGAAACACAAAGCAAAGCTGATAACGGGGGTGCCAGCAGCAACGTGCTGTGTAGTTCAGTCAGTGCAGTCTCTTAGGCTTTGATTGACTTCTTGAACAAGACTTTGGCAATTCTGGAGTGAGAAATGCAGAGCTGTCATCTCCATCTTGCCAATAAACAGCAGCAACCACCTCCCAACAGGGCGGTGATTAGAGTTAGAAATCCAGCATTCAGATGAGATGCAATTGTCTGCGTGATGGTGCTTGGTGCTGTGAGATTCAGTTGAGGTTTCTGAAGGCATTTCTTGAAAACGCACATTGCTCGTGTCTGTTCCATTATTGAAGTGAGGGACAAATACAAAATGGTACCAGTCATCTTCTATGTAATGATCGCTATGCTGCACAGAACGTCACTAACAGTATATTAATGGTGAAATGTCCTAGGAGGCAAAGGGGAGCAAGGCGAGCGAGGAGTAAGTGGAAACCCTGGTTATCCAGGCAAACCTGGACTGCAAGGTACGTAACATGAGCTGGGAAAGCCAGGAATATTGCACTGATCTTTCCCTTTGCCCCTCCATCTCCAAAGCAATCCAATACTTTTAATCATTTTTCCTCCCCACTTTGCCCTTTTCCTAGGTGAAGCTGGAGTAAAAGGCAATAAGGGCAACTACGGCTTCCCTGGACTGAAGGGACAAAAGGGGTCCAAAGGGGACACTTGTGAGAACGGGACCAAAGGAGACAAGGGAGATAGGGGGGATGCTGGAGAGCCAGGAGTGGGTGGAGAACAGGGTGACAAAGGGGAAAAGGGGGACACAGGGGAGAAGGGGTACTGTGGGGAGCCAGGGGGGAGAGGTGCGAAGGGGGAGAGAGGGGAAGGGGGGACAAAGGGAGAAAAAGGGAGCAAAGGGGAAATGGGGGATGAGGGTATTCAGGGGGTGGATGGAAAACAGGGAGAAAAGGGTGAGCAAGGAAGAAAGGGTGAAAAAGGGGACCTGGGACCTGCTGGAGTGGCAGGACCTTCTGGGCCCAAGGGGGTAGCTGGCAGCAAGGGGGGCCGAGGGGCCCCAGGAAAGAAAGGGTCCCGTGGGGCGAAGGGTGCCCGAGGGGACACTGCAAAGCTCCTGCGATCAGCATTCAGCGCCGGCTTGTCCAAGCCCTTCCCTCCGCCCAATGTCCCCATTAGATTTGACAAGATCTTATACAATGACCAAGAAGATTACAACCCTTCCACTGGGAAATTCAACTGCAGCGTGCCCGGGGCGTACGTCTTTGCCTACCACCTGACGGTGAGAGGGCGTCCAGCCCGCGTCAGCCTTGTTGCCCGCAACAGGAAGGTGGCCAAAGCCCGTGAGACGCTCTACGGCCAGGAGATCGACCAGGCATCCTTCCTGACTGTCCTGAAGCTGAGTGCGGGCGACCAGGTGTGGCTGGAGGTTGCACGGGACTGGAATGGGGTCTACGTCAGCGCTGAGGATGACAGCATCTTTACGGGGTTTCTTCTGTATCCAGATGTTTTTGAGATCCTGCTATAGATTTATAGGGCAAAAATGTTACTGAGAAACATATCTTTCCTTCTGTCTGCGAGAGGAGAAATGAGCATCAGTTTAGCATATTGGTTTAGTTGCTAGGTTTCGTGATCTTTTAACAAAAATATTTATATTTGCAAAACATGGATTAGTTTTAACTAGCAGCCCCAAGAAGTGGCACGTCCTTTGTGCAGGTGAGTGATGGCTAAGAGAAACTATTGTCCAAACACCAGCAGGATAGGCACAGAGAGGGGATTTCCCATCACAGACTTCAGGTTTGTAATTAGTCTATTCAAATTATGTAATGAAACTTATTGTCCAACTGCAATTTTATTCAGGCCAGCTCCTGCAATCCTTGCATGGTCAAAACTCCTCTGGAAATCAGCACTGATAACCATTGGTTTTAGTAAAGATTGCAGAGTTTGATTTGTAGAGCTTGATCAGATGTGAACATGAGCAGTAGGTTTCTTTAAATTACATGAAAAGATTTAAAGTTATCATTGAATCAGTATTATCTAGTTCTTTAGACTTAGTGGTGAATTATATAAAGATTTATCTAAAAAAGTGTTAGAACTATTTGATCAGTGTAAAGAAACCCGAAATATTGTAATTAGGCAAAAATATGTCTGAAAATTTCAAAAGTAACTGAGAGATGCTTAATGCACCTTATTAGGCTACTCAGAAACCCCGTTTCTGAGCCACTGACAATTCAGCTGATGCTGCAGGGTCAGTTCTTGGCCATGGGGAGGAGAAAGGGGTGGCAGCCAGGAACAGGCTTTGGCACTCACACAAGTCCTAGAGCATTGTGATGTCCCAGTGGATGTGTGGTCACATTTTTAAAAAGCTGGTTTACCAAAATGGAACTGAATCTTGTGAAATAAAAGTATGACATTAAATAATCTCTGGATGTCAGACTGGATAAATTCCCTTATTAATGCACTTTCTCTCATCGTAGTGTCTTTACACCACCTTTGGCATATTATCTGTGGCACACAAAATTGTTGCAATTGCTCTTCTTTTTGAGAAGTAAAACTCAAGTCCCATAATTAGCCTTCAGTGGCACTGGGTTTTACTTGTCTTCTAAGGCAGTCACGTTTTCCCAGTGATTTGATCAATTCTGGGTCTGACCCCAGCGTGGACAGGGTGAATTAGGCTGCAATTCCCATTGCTCTGAGTTTCCTTGCTTAAATTGCCATCGTGCTTTCCATATCATATTTAAATACCACCGTAAATCATGTCACTCTCTCTAATGTCTTCTTTTTACATGGCACCAAGATGAAGAATTCCTGAGACATTTTTTATGCAGTGAGAAAATTAACACCAGAGAACTGCTGTTAAATTTTAAGATGAAAACAAGGCAATTTTAAAAGGCTGATCCTATCTAGCCAGGAAATGTAAGGGGTCCTTCAACTCATCAGCTTTGCAGCCCTCTTTCACTATCAGCAATTCAAGTGTGACATGTACTGGCTTTGTCACAAAGTTGATACTTAAAGTCATGCTTAATCTGAGTTAGTTCCTATGTGGTTCAAATCCGGAGTACTAAGTATGTAAAAGAAGCAGATTTCAGTTTGTGAATTCTCTGGCAGCTGTTAAATATTGAGGAAAACCAAGAAGCTATAATAATCATTTTGAATTCCTGCT